TCTAAAAATCAAATATAATAGTTTATATTTTTTAATTATTCCGATCTAACCATAATTTTTAAACAAATAAATTTAATTAAAGCCTTGATACTCAAGGTGAAATCCTTATGAGTTCTAAGAGGAAAGTTAGAGAAAACTCGCCTGAAGGTTTCGAAACGAAACCGACGCTTTAAGCTTTAATTATCTCTTCCAATTCCGACGTCCTCCTTTTCAGATCCGACCTCCTCTTTGTCAGCCCTTCTTCTTCCTCTCTCTCTGTCTGTTTTATTTTTCTAACGTGTAAAACCTTTAACCCTAAAGCCTTATATGTATTTTTATACACCTTAAATTCCAAATCCTATTCCAACTAGTATTATGAATTAAAATAATAATCTTTAAATAATTTATATCTATAAACATATATATATATAAATATATATTCCTTCCATAATTAACTCATTAGTTAATTAAATCATATATACTTATAAATATCAATAAATATATATCTATATATATATCTTTCCATAACAATTATTAATTAATTATATTTATATATAATTATATATATATATAAATATAATTGATACAAAAGTGATCATTTAAATAATTAAATAACCACGGACCTTCATTAATTAACCCAATATGGTTTCATACAAGCCCAAGACCACATCTTTTGGTCCAACTTTCCTTAAGCCCAATCCAATTAATTTAAATAAATAAGATAATTAATTAAATACAGAAATTAAAATAATTAATTACATGAAGCACATAAACAAACAAGAATTTACAACTAAGTCATATAATACCAATAAAATCAACACACCAATAATTCAATCAATAATCAACCACACAAACAATCAATCATCATACATAATCACGAAATATAACTTAATTAAAATAAGATAATTAATCTAGCACTCAATAAAATAAAATAAATCATTGAAAAATAAAATAAAATAATTAATCCTAATTAATAAATCTTTTAAAATTATCGGGGTATTTTATGCAATCCAAGACCTTAATTACATCCTAAATTAATTATTGAAACCCCCATTAAAGTTTTAAAACTGTTCAGAAACCCCAAGAGCCTAAACAGTTTCTGAAATCTTACAATACGCTTCTAAATGGAAAGAGCCTGCTCTAAAAAAAAATAGAGCAGGCTCAAAGTGTTTGGAGCCGCCTCCAAAACATTTTGGAGCCGCCTCTAAAAAGGGGAACCCACTGTTCCGCTTTCTTCTTCGTTTTCGATAATCTGCTTCGACCCCGGCCACTTTCTACTCTTCAGTTGGTTTCTAAAACTGATCCTAAGGGTCTTATTAATACCAAATAGCATCCCAATGGTTTGATAACACAATTGGAAACAATTACAGAGACTAAATTTGCAACCGAACTATTTATACTTTAGGAACAAAACTGAAACTATTTTGCAATAACAGTTCCATTCCAACCCCTCTGTTCCTCTTCACTACTGAATTTAGGAGTTCTATTTAATCCCAGTATCATCCCCATGATTTATTTGCAGAGGTTAAAGGCAATTACAGAAACTACAATTTCTAATAACATAACATGCTTAAAACAGAAAACTGAAACAAGACTTGCATGTGTTATAACAGAGTTGATTTTAACACGTAAAGATCTTAAATATACATATAGTAAGCATGTAAATTCCAATTAATAATTACCTAAACCCTAGAGACTATCTAGGTGCACAGAACACGAGCCAACGGGAGAGAGAAAGAACAGAACTTGCCTTGCAGTTTTGGAACAAAACCATGTCGCCGTCTTCCTAAGTTTTTCCGGCGATAACGACTGCCATTAAGGACTCCCCTAATCCAGTTCTAACTCTCGAATGGCCCTCAACCTTCCTCCTTGGATCGGCCTAATTTGTTGGCCAAAACCCCAGCTTCTTCTCTCACAGTTTCTCTCAAAACTCTCTAGGACTTCTCTCTGCCTCCACTGCTCCACGCACAGAGTTCTAACCCTTGGCAGATAATATAAGGTTCTATATATATAGGTTTAAGACAAACCCTACTCCTATTGTTAAACTTACGTCTCATAAGAAAATACTAATAATAATATTAATAAAAGAACACCCAAAGCATAATACAAATATTAAAATCGGCCCTTAAATATGTGTGTGTGTGTGTGTGTGTGTGTGTGTGTGTGTGTATATATATATATATATATATAATTTCATGTATACTATATATATATAAATAAATTAACTACTCTTATTAATATAATTATTTACTATACTAATAAATACCAAATCCCTAACTATACATATATACTCATATCCAAATATATATATGTACTAATATCCATGGGTAATATCCATACCCTTTTTACACCCTATCCAAGTAGTCCATCACTATATCCAAATTCATCCTTTCAAACATAAAAATAAAACAAAAATAAAAATACACATCAAAGTCAAGGTAAAATAAACTGCATTCAACACTTAAACACACACAAGTTAAAACAATTAATTCACTTACACATCCAACAGGAAAAACCATCTAAACATTTAGCCACGTAAGCACATAAACATAATAAAATAAATAATAAAAATAATGAAATGAATAATAAAATTTCAATTATATCCCTTTTAAAACTAGGGGTATTACATCTCTAACTTTATACTTTGCTTTATTTTATTGCATAAGATTAATTGATTAAGTGCTAAAATAAGTAAAGTTGATAATGACAAAGACCTGTTTTAAACCTTCCTATATACATTCTGCTGCGTAGAACTCACAGCAAGGAAGCCCTGGTTTATTATTGTGAAAGCTCTCATGCATGCAACAATGGCTTGTAGAATTTTTGTTTGGCAATAGTATATTAAATGTTTGGGGCCGTTTATTTTCGTGGACTTGCTATTATTACCATTCCTAGCTTCTGGGGAGATGTGTTGGTGGTGATGTTTTCACTATTTTTGTCTTTCATCTTAGGCCAATAAAATTGAGCGCCAAGCAACACTATTGTTCGAGCTCGAACGTGGAGAAAAGGGTGTGTGTACTACGTCATCACATTTCTTCTATCCATTATTATTTTCCTTTGAAATCATTAAATGTTTGGGGCCGTTTATTTTGGTGGACTTGCTATTATTACCATTCCTTGCTTCTGGGGAGATTTGTTGGTGGTTATGTTTTCACTATTTTTGTCTTTCATCTTAGGCCAATAAAATCGAGCGCCAAGCAACACAATTGTTCAAGCTCGAACGTGGAGAAAAGGGTGTGTGTACTACGTCATCACATTTCTTCTATCCATTATTATTTTCCTTTGAAATCACGAAATTTAGAATATGTAAAGAATAAACAATGACATATATATATATATATATATATATATATATATATATATTGACTTGCTTAGGAACAACAGCTTTCATTTTAGAATTTGCCGATACAACATTCATTTACTACCAGATGATAGTAATCCACATATACTGAACCAGAATTGAATGGAGCAGACCTTTCACAATTGGAATGAGTTTGGATAGAATTCCAATTCAACAAGCAATTCGAACAATAATGAAAAAGATCATAATATATAGCTAATGCTTCAAATTTTATTAGTAAATAGCAACAAAAATACAGAAGAACAATATTCCCGTCCCATACCACATTCAAATAGAGTTACACATCAGTGTCTCTTGTAAGTTCTAACAGCACGCCTCAAATTACTAGTCATGGATGCTCATTAGATTTTGATTATGATGCTACCATTTTTGGGCAAAAAGAAAACTTGGCCCTGCTAATTGAGTGTTAGATAATGATGTCTCAAATTCTATTTGAGATATTTCATCCACAAGAAAAATTAAAATTATATTGTGTGATTTGCGGTGAACCGTTTGTGCTATTTGTTACTGTTCACGTCAAAATTGAGACTGATTTTGGGTTTGATTATGCATCATGGGTTTGATTTTGGACGTGGCATTCAAGTTGATGTTGATGTTGATCTTTGCTGTGTAAAAGTACTGTGGTAACATGATTGTGGTGAATTAACCTGGCTATAAATCTGGGTATATTTCAGAAGACGATAGAGGTGAGTCGTAAGCATATGCGTGTTGTTGGCGTACGGGTATTGTTGACACCTTCGGAGTGAAGGTTGAGCAGATAGATTGAGAGAGATAGTGTTTGGTGAGAAACTCCCGAGTGTTTTTGGGTATATTGTGTTTATCAAGTCTGTATGCAACTTGAGTGGAAATTCCTCTATATATAACTTTTCGCACTTTTTCGTGTGATCGTGAACGTTTGTACCGTAGTTTTTTCCCTCTACATTAGAGGTTATTTTCCACGTATAAATTTGGTGTGTTTGAGTGGATCGTTGAATTTATATTTTGAAGGTTATTTCTCTTAGTGCAAAATATTTGGGATCAACAAGTGGTATCAGAGCAGAGGGTTTGGTTGGGGTTGATGTTCAGAAGATAAAGTCTCAACAAGTGTTGCAACGAGATCAATTACAGGTGAAGTGAGTCAGTCAGTTTGGTGAAGCTCGTTAAAGGAGTTTTGCTCTCAACGACGGTTTGCTCCGAGCCTAAAGTCTTAGCCTGAAAAAGAGGATGGTTTTGCTCTCAGCCAAGCTTTGCTCCCAGCCTAAAAGAAGAGTGGTTCCCGCTCTCAGCCTTGAAAATAGCAAGATGGAATTGTGATGAGGTACATGGCAAAGGTGGGGTCGTGAAAGACAATAAGGGTGAGTTGTCATATTCAATTGCCGTGGAAGCGTTGATTGACGTGATGGAATTTGAGCCAATATAAAAATTGATAAGATAATGACATCTCAAATTCTATTAGAGGAACGTGTAAATTTTAAATTCGTATTGTACCGTGAAATTTTATGATAACTCGAATTAAGTTTGGGCTCTACATGCATCTCCTCATCGATAACCTACTGTTGTAGTGGGTATGGACTTAATTAGTCCTTTAATTTTATTGAATACCTTTGTTACAACTTGTGTGGTACTGGCAATTTTGATAGTTTGTTAAGTGCATTACTCTCTTGTTCACATACCTAACAAGTCAAGAAAGAAAAGACTTTCCATTGATGATTAAAATACGCTAGAAGAAACCATTTTCCCTTATTTTTACCCAACAAAAACTGCACTTTGTTCTAACTAGTAAGCAAAAACGGTGGGAAAAATTACAAGCAAATTTCCCTAGTGAGTTTGATAAAAAAAAAACATTAACCTTCGTCGTTCGAGCACTATAATTTCCAACTTATCCATCAAATTCATCTTCAGTCTGAATTTTGAAGAGCTTGAAACGGCTATCTGCAAGGCGTAGAGAATTGATGACTTCCTTGAATTCAGCCCATGTAAAAGGCCGGTAGAGAGAGGGTGTGGCGGCCGTGACCAACTCCGGTAGCGGAGCGATTTTTGCATTGAGTGGTGGCCCACAAAAATAGACCATGGACATTCTAGACTTGTCTGAAATATTCGACAAGACTTTATGTTTTACGCTCACAAACCTTCCGTTTGTCATAGCCTTCACAATGCACAAAAATGTAATATTAATGGTCAAATAACTGGGCATGGTTAGTTTTGTTATGATGTGTCATGTGTGTGCCTTTAAATAAATGTTTCAAAAACTTGACTGCTAATAAATGTTACATGTAAAGAACAGCTAGTTTATAAGTATTAATTTTTTAATGAATTTAAGGCTTTTGAATCACAAGCATATTTCACATTCAATTTTATTTTTCTCTTAATAAGGAAAAACAACTTGCAATGCTGTGTTTGGCTGCCGAGAAATATTCAGAGAGGAAAAAAAATTTGCAGAGGAAATCATTGTAATGTAATGGCACAGAAAGGACATGGACAAGCTGACCCAACAAAACAGTTTCTCATTACTGATAGATAGGTGGGTGGGACCCCTATGTGATCATCGGCCCAATGCCCAGAATCTGATGTTGCAGTGGCAGCGATTCCCCAATTTCAGTTCAGTTTCAACCGGTCAATTCTACCTTTTCAAGATTGTGATGATTATTTGTGTGTGAATGTGTGTCTACTGTGTGAGAGAGGAAGAAATGAAGTGTGTGTGTGAGAGAGAAAAAACTGATAAAAGGGAGTTCACCTGTAACACGTCACCCACATTAACACAGAATGCAGCTGGGTCAGGAGAGATTGGGACCCACACGCCACCCTCCACTGAGATCTGGAGGCCACCCACATCGTTGGATCTCAAGATGGTCAAGATCTGAGGGTCAGAGTGCTCTCCAAACCCAATCTTTTTTTTTTCGGAAACCACTCCAAACCCAATCTTGTTGGTACTGTTATTGGTGGTGGTGTTCTGGTGGTGATGAGGTGGATTTTGATGATGAAGTGGATGCAAATAGGAGGGTGACGTGTCATTGTCTTTGAAGCAGCTGTCAGCTGTGAGGTGGAGAGGAGGATAGTGATTGAGCCTGAGGATTGAGTCGCTATCAACGTCCCTGATTAACCTGCTGAACACTGATGTGTCTGGGACCCGCAAACCCTCTGCCATCAGATCCAAAATCTCACATGCCAAACCTCTAACTGCTTCTATGTAACCACACACTGCAAAGCTGTCATCACACGCAAACCCAAACCCATACATGAGTTCATCACTCTCTCTCTCTCTAGTCACTGTCCATTCCAACCATGCATTACAACATTAAAAATAAATAAAAACAAAAACAATTCTTTTTCTTTATCTCTCTATAAATTTATATATTGATTTCTACTTTTTTTTTTTTTTAATATATATATTTGATTTGATTAGATTTTCTTGATGTACATATCTGACTTGTCATTCTGATTCTGATATTTATGGATGTGTATCAAATTTTCTATTCTCATTTTATTATATGTATATATATATATAAGTGTACTCAGAGCGGAGGGGCAACTCACAGTGGCTGCAGGATGACGAGTTGTCCCAGCCGGCAGGTTATGCTACATCATTGTGTACCAGAAACCAACCTTATTGGAGCAGACCCATGAATGCGACTTAAGAGACCATCTTCAATGGTCCATGCCAGGCACGTGCTTAAGCGCGCTCTCTGGGGTCAGAAATTACTGTACAACTTAAATACTACTACATACTAATTATTGGATGGGATTTCCAACCTAATAGGAAAGTAACTTTTACTCTATAGAAGTCTTAAATTTCTCTATTCACTGAACGATGTGAGACATGTTCAACTATTTAATAATTTTCTCTTAAACGAAGTTTATTTCGGTAGATAAAACATCAACGTTCTTATCGTTTTTTTGCTAGTTAAAAATCTTGAGTTTTCATACGATTCTTTGAAACCTGACTCTAACTAATACCAATTATTGTAACGAGAGTATTCAATCTAAAAAATTAAACTATTAGAGAGTGACTCTTTCCAAATATAAATCACCCATATAAGCCTCGTTCAACCACCCAAATAAATGGACTCCAAACCCAAAAATTGGCAATTATCTAACGTCTACTATTTTATGTAGTGAAGTTTACAGTGGATTACACCTTTTAACACTAGTGTGTGTGTGCTACGTAATCGAGTCTCAAGACACAATTTCTTAGGAGATCTCATTGACAAGTCAAGTTGTGTACTTTGTATTTCTAAAGATGCTAATTGAAGAAAAGAAAGATATTTATACGAAAATAAAATTATAATTTAATTTTTTTTTTTTTTTTTAACAAAAAAATAAATAATAATAATAATAATGAAAAGGACACCTAACTTCTACTAACGGTTGACAATAAAACTTGAAGTTTAGAAGCCTGCCTAATTTTGTACCATGCATGTTAACAACCGATAGATAGATGATGAATCCTAAAATGCTCCAACATGGAAAGGGACTCATGGTCTATAAATAGAAGTCCTAAATTTCTTTATTCACTAAACGATGTGAGACATGTTCAACTATTCAGTAATTTTCTCTTAAACGAAGTTTACTTCGGTAGATAAAACATCACCGTTCTTATCGTTTTTTTGCTAATTAAAGATCTTGAGTTTTCATACGATTCTTTGAGACCTGACTCTAACTAATACTAATTATTGTAACGAGAGTATTCAATCTAAAAAGTTAAACTATTAGAGAGTGACTCTTTCCAAATATAAATCCCCCATATAAGCCTCGTTCAACCACCCAAATAAATGGACTCCAAACCCAAAAATTGGCAATTATCTAACGTCTACTATTTTATGTAGTGAAGTTTACAGTGGATTACACCTTTTAACACTAGTGTGTGTGTGCTACGTAATCGAGTCTCAAGACACAATTTCTTAGGAGATCTCATTGACAAGTCAAGTTGTGTACTTTGTATTTCTAAAGATGCTAATTGAAGAAAAGAAAGATATTTATACGAAAATAAAATTATAATTTAATTTTTTTTTTTTTTTTTTTTTTTTTACAAAAAAACAAATAATAATAATAATAATAATGAAAAGGACACCTAACTTCTACTAACGGTTGACAATAAAACTTGAAGTTTAGAAGCCTGCCTAATTTTGTGCCATGCATGTTAACAACCGATAGATAGATGATGAATCCTAAAATGCTCCAACATGGAAAGGGACTCATGGTCTATAAATAGCTGGCACAGTGTATATTATTACAAGTAGTAGATGTACAAAAACATAACTAATTAAGTACTCTCTCAATTCCATCCATTTGAGGAAGGAGTGATTTAAGACAAAGGAGGTTTTAGTTTACTTGTGTCCACATTCGGAAAATAAAATTAAAACACCACCCATCATTCTATTTTCTTATTATTTTAATCATTATCATGTGAGAGAGAGAGAGAGAGATTAATTAACAAATTAAGCCTTGCTCATCAAATAGGCATGAGGTTTAATTGGTGCTTTAATTAATTAATGTCTACCACAACTAATTGCCAGATGGAAACTGAGAATTAATTGTTAACAAATTTCTTAAATTAGTACTCCGTACATATGTGAGGTGATGGTTTATAAATACATTTTCTTAGAAATGGTCCACACACACATATAGATACACACACACCAGATGAATATTTATATTTGAAGAGAATTAGATATATGCAGACTTATATTGTTTCTGATTCGAACTCCTAATTTTCAAATTATTATAGAACAATCTTAACATGACGCAATAATCTACTATAAATATAACATATACACACACCAGATGAGTATTTATGTTTGGATAGAGTTAGATGTATGTATATTTATCATTATATTAAGACTGTTTTCGATTTCAACTCTTTACCTTTAAATTATAATAGAACAATCTTAAGGTGACGCAAAGACTTATTCTTATATAAAGGGACTGTTTCCAATTCGTACTCCTAATCTTCAAATTATAATAAAACAATCTTAACGTGTCGCAAAGGTTTATTTTTATATAAAAAGACTGTTTTCGATTCGAACACCTTCAAATTATATAGAAAAATCTTAACATGACGCAAAGACAACGTTCTTTAATTCATATTAAATGTTAAAATGTATACAATAGTTCTAGACCAATAAAATAGAGTTTAAATACATATGTAAAGAAGAAAATTAAATAAAGGTGTGATTATAAGAGTGGTAGTTACATACCTGATTTTTGTTGGGTCATTGGAGATGGTGATGTATTTCTGAGAAATGGAGGGAGGGTTGGTGTAAAGAAGAAGATATTCAACTTCACCAACATCTCCATTGAAGCCTATGTTCTTGCTACCATAGCCAAACGGGGGGCCGGCCAGCTGTTTTTCGGAGGCCGGTTTGGCGAAGAACTCGAAGCTCTCTTCTTCCATTCTTCTAATAACATCCTCCGGGACACCATGGTTCATCACCTTAAAGAAACCATACTCTTCACAAGCTTTAACTATGAGCTTTGACACCTCTGCTCTCTCGTTTGATAGGTCTATAATTGGAGGCTCAAATATTTGTCTGATTTTTTCAGCTCGAATTGGGGTTTGAGAGGCCATAACCATGTTTGTTTTCATTGGGTATGTAATTAGTAGGTAGAGTGAAGAGAAGATGAGCTATAAAATGAAGTTGAAAATGGGAGACTTAAGCTTATATAAATAGAGAGAGAGTGAGAGAGAGAGAGAGAATCTATGGTGGGGATGAAGAATAAATAAATGTAGGGGGGATTCGTAGACTTTAGGTGAAATGCAACTTGCAAATTCATGTCACTCTGGAATGTTGACACTTTCTGCTCTTTTGACTGGCGTTTTTCAACAGTTTAGATTTTTTTAGGCTTCACGTATCACCCAAGAAATTCAACTTGAGATATTGGAGTTCATCTTTTTCAAGATCCTCATCAACTTGCAAATTCATGTCACTCTGGAATGTTGACACTTCTGCTCTTTTGACTGGCTATTTTCAACAGTTTAGATTTTTTTAGGCTTCACATATCACCCAAGAAATTCAACCTGAGATATTGGAGTTCATCTTTTTCAAGATCCTCATCCAAATTAACCACCCCCATCCCCCAAACACCCACACAAAACACATGAACGCAATGAATCTATAACATAAAAGCGTGAATGATTTACCTTTCCATATTTTGTATCCGGAGTACTTCACTTACTTTCCTCTGCAGAATTGGAATTTGCAAGTTAATTAAAGAATTCTTTGGGGACATATTACATTCGTAAGTTGAAAGGTTTTTCAGGCTTTATACATCTTTTCATCTATCCTGGCCCGTTTAGTTGTAAAATCAAACACGCTTAGTTATTTTGGTTTGTTAAAATACACTGTCTAAAGTAACAAAATATGAAGTATAAGTGGTTGCCAAACAGGAACTACATTGGCAAGTTAAAAGATTTTCTACTCAAGATGTTTCAATTCGAGACGGGACATCTTTTTCACGATCCTCAATCAACATAAAATCGTGAATAAAAAAAACGTGTCAACTCAAGATGGTAGAGGGCATGTTTTTCAAGATCCTTAATCAATAATATATATGTTACATTTGTAAGTTAAAAGAATTTTCAACCCAAGATGTTTCAATTCAATACATTATAGGACATTATTTTCAAAATCCTCAGTCAACATAAAATCGTGAATTAATGAAAATATGTGAACTCAAAAGTGATAGTGGTCCCAATTAATAACGTCCAAGTTACGTGTGCAAGTTAAAGTATTTTAACTCTGAGATGTTAGATGATATCTTTTTCAAGATTCTCAATCAATTTTGCCTATGTTACATTTACCAGTTAAAAGATTTTTTTAGGCTTTACAAACCCACTTCACCCCCCTCCCTCAAAAAAAAAAAAAAAAAAAAAAAAAAATCAATAATGCATATGTCACACAATTGTTATTATTAGTTTTATTTGATAGTCTATGTTACACGATTATTTTCAGAATATAAATGATCATATTCTGATTTAGGGTTTAATGCCTTATTAGTCAAGAATGAATCTAATTGTGATTTTGTAATTTTTTGATAAAAAATCAAACCTCTGATAAAAAAAATTGGCCCTCTCTAACATTAAATTGTAGCAAAAATACACAAGGGATCAATATCATAAAATTGTAGAGGACATATTTTCTAATTTCTTCAACCAATAATATTAGATGTTGGAGAACATATTTTTCAAGAACCTCAATCAATGTAAAATCATAAATAAAAAAACGTGTCAACTTGAGATATTAGATGGCATTTTTTTTCAAGATCCTTAATTAATCAATAATACATAGTTAAAAAAGATCCTTAATTGATCAATAATACATATGTTGCATTTGCAAGTTAAATGATTTTTTACTCGATATGTTTCAATTCGAGACGTTAGAGGACATCTTTTTCAAGATCCTCAATCAACATAAAATCGTGAATAAAAAAACAATATTTGTGTGAACCCGAGGGCATGTTTTTCAAGATCTTCAATCAATAATATATATGTTATATTTGCAAGTTAAAGAATTTTCAACTTGAGAAATTTCAATTCGAGATGTCAGAGGACATTATCTTGAATATCCTCAATTCAACAAAAAATTGCGAATTAGAAAAATGTGTTTACTCATAAATGATAGAGGTCTCCAATCCTAACATCTATGTGACATGTGCAAGTTAAAGGATTTTAACTCGAGATGTTAGAGGACATCTTTTTCAAAATCCTTAAACAATTATGTCTATGTTGCATTTGCAAGTCAAAAGGTTTTTAGGCTTTACACCTCCACCACTCTCCCTAAAAAAAATAATAATAATAAATCAATCAATAATGTCTATGTTACACAATTGTTATTATTACTTTATTTGGTAGTCTATGTTGCACAATTATTTTCAAAATTTATATGATTATAATCTAATTTAGGGTTTAATGCCCTATTTATCAAGCACGAATCTAACCTTGATTTTGTAATTTTCTTCTCAAAAATCAAACCTTAGATTAAAATTTTGACCTCGTTATTTAATTCAGACTTGAACCCTTCATCTTCTATTTTGAAAGAGAATGAAACATTGTTATGCTACACCGCTTTTTTATTTTCTTTGTTCCTATTTCTCTTTGTATTCTGAAGAGATTGTAGCTAGCCTTTTCAATATTCAATTTTCATTGCTCTCTGATACCATGTGATCAATTTCACATTTTCTTTTCCTTTTATAAATGATGAGTTTTGAAATGCTTACGAACTCCAATTATATATATATAAAAATATACACACACAAACACACAGATAACAAAAATCCACCACCCCATCAACTGGAATTACTTGAAAATTTGGAAAAAAAAAAGAAAAGAAAAAGAACTCATATTGAGAAATTAGTTAGGAAGATTAATTAGCTAACGAGAGCAGTCTAATTGAGTATCTACTTGTGTTCATCATAATCAAACATTATCATTATTATTATTTGCACGTCATAATCAACATTGTGATCATTGTTCTTTATACATAAGGAATAATTTTGGGGAAGATGTGGTTTCTGTACTATTGTGTCTAGCAAATGAAGCAATAATTGAGCAATTCCATTATTGAGAGTTTAGCTCTTAGGCCAAATACTTTCCTCTTAGTTTTCGAGAAAATTATTATATAGTTTTGAGATCATTGATTCGGTCCATCGATAGTGCCTAACACGCAAGTAAATGCATCAATTTTATATTGTCAACTAATAATCAATTAAGGCCAATAATATATGTTCATTCAATAATTTCCCTCTACGGTCTCTACCACCTCTCCCCTTCCCAACTCACTTGGTCCCATTTCATTTCCAGAAAATCTAGAGACCCATATCTCTCTCTCTCTCTCTCTCTCTCTCTCTCTCTCTCTCTACAGCTCCAATGACAAAAAAAATCACAAGTAGAACAAGGACCATAGTGGTCCAGTGCTCAATGTACCAAACGTATGTACAACTTTCTCAAAACTTCTTGTGATGATGGTGGCCTTCAACTCGGTTTATTTTACATAATTTTCTTTGATACCCATATGTTTCCTTTCTATTCATTTCAGTCTTGATCCATTCTCCAATTCAGGGCCCTCCTATGGATATGGGCCATCTGAACGTGGGACCCACGCAAAGGGTTAATTTCTCCGGACTTAATTGTACGTGTTAACATTTTGTAATGTTTTGTTATGTTGAACAAGGTATTGTGCAAATCTTTATAATAGAGAGAATCTTGATTCTAATTTCCCCACCTCTCCAATTGAGTTATTTTACCAAGCTACTTCAGTTGTGACAAAATCGCAGTTGATGGACCATCTAGAGGTGAACACACTTGGATGATACATACCTAGAAAAAGGATTTTACGAATTTTTCTCTTTTTATTTGACCGTAAGAAAGAGAAGTTATTTTGTTTATTAAGAGAGAAGGAAAGGTGAGAGATTCTTAATATCGAGGTTATCTAATAATTATGAAAGGTGGTACTGTAATTTAAAATTTTTATAATCGTCTCACTTCTTTTCTTTCTTCTCTTTCGTTTATATTTGGAGGAACGAAAATTTGTTAAGCGAGAGAATAACTCATTCATCTTCTATTCTCTTCCTTTTTTTATTTCCTCTCTACCAAACAAAAAAAATTGTTTACTTTTTCCTATATTCGCTCCCCTCTTTTTTTCTTTCCTACCAAAAGGATGGTTAAATTTTCTAAGAGATGACGTCCCGTTAGAACAAAAATAAGAATTTGAATAAAATAAATAGTCAAAACTTGAGTCTTTCATGAGTTCTTGGATAACTATGAATAATTCGAACTCTTTACAACCAAGATGCAAACTAAATAAAATTGTTATTTGTATTAATTTATCATTTTCTTGCCATCATATAAGAATAAATTTGTTAATTTGTTATGACATATCACATAGACCAATTCAAATCAACTCAAGCACCATCTGTCGCATATCAAATTTTAGAAAAAAATTATATATATAGAGAGTCGGCCCTAAATTTTTGGTGGGCCCGGTGCAAAAAATAAATTGGAGCCCTACTTAGCATAGTCTAACTCTCACATAAAAATATAAAAATAAAAATTATTGTGATTAAATTAATGTCATAAAGTAAATTTCATAACTGAAATTTATCAAAAGTTTACAAAATTCACTAGCCACTTGAACCACCAGAATAAAAGTATCAAGAAATCATTATTATCATAACTTGATGTCTACCCTATGTTTTATTTGAAGAGTTAAAACTATTGTAATAATTTTTACCTAAAAAAAAAATTTGACAAGTGCAATATTAAACTCTGAAAATTTCTCTTACATTCTTAGATGCAAATTCTTCAATTAAACTTTCAAAATCAACTTATGACATGGTTGATCACAAGTAACATTTTAAAAACTTCAATTTTGAAAAACTTCTTTTTGCATAAGCAACCGTAAAGGGAATAGTTAATAATATTTTATACGTAACGCATGCATTTGGAAAGCAATTCATTCCTTTCAAAAAAAAATTAATATTGCACTCGCTATCATTTTTTCTTTTGGTAAAATGTCTTGTAAGAGTTTCAATTCTGCAAATAAATCATTCCCATCAACATAAAAAGAAAATTGCCATTTTTAGATTCTTTCAAGATGAAAGCAACAAGTCTTCAAATCATCATCAATCCAATGAGTTTAACTTATCAAAGTAGACAAAAATCTAAAAATATCTTCATATTGTTGATATTTTCTTCCACTCATATTGG